TGTAGTTTCTGTCTCTACACACACACACACACACACACACACACACACACACACACACACACACACACACACACACACACACACACACTTACATTTATCCTAACCTTAACCATAACCACTTCTTGCCTAACCCTATAACCCCAACCTTAAATTACATTGTCACCATAAAATTCCATGATTTACATCTGGTCCCCATGAGGAAGCCTGAGCCCCCACAGTCATGCCAGGCACACACACATGCACACATGTGCTCAGGTATGACACAAACATACTGAAGCTGGCCCAGCAGTCAACCACTAGTGCCAGCTGACATTAACACAGCTGTTATCTGCTTTATGACTTCCACTCTAGCCTGTTTATTTGTGTACTTTGACTTTTGCTGCAAAGCTGTGTCTGACCTGAAGTAGCACCGCACAGTGTCAAAGGTCAAATCTGGAATTTATTTCAGTTAAACACACTAACACTACAGTCATTTGAGGTAGTAAATAGTGTGTGCAGCTTCTTTACCTCTCTTTTAATTTAATTATATCTTTTATTTTGAAATTTTGAAGCTTATTTTGAAGCTTTCTGTCAGGCAGAGCTCCAGTCCAACATTTTGTAGAGCATCCTGGTGGTTCAGTTCACTTGGCAAAGGCAAGTATCATGTAACATTGTTTAAACCCTGTCCAGGGCCTTTGTAATGTGTGATTACCCCTTTTCTACCCAAAACTTGCTGTGTCCTTTCCCAATAAAAACTACAGCAAAGGTAAAACAATCATGCTAAAAGACTTCTCAGACGCTGAATTAAGTCTAACCACTGTGGGCACACATGGATTAGCCAAATAACAAATTTGAATAGCACAAAGCAATCCTTCAGTACACTTTAGGCTAATAATTGGTGCGCCTATTTTGTATTTGTGGTTGTATTGATTTTAGAAGGTCAGCAGGCCAGGTCATCTCCTTTCAAATGTTACCTTGTCTTTCTGAAGTTTTTGAGACAGCATATGGCCAGAAGTAAGTGGACACATGGACATGCCTGTTCAACATGTCATTCTAAATCCATGCTGCTATAATCGTCTACGCTCTTCTCATTTCAGGCTTTCAACACATAGTTTGGAGCCTGGTGACAGGGTTACAGCAACATCAGATAAGAAAGGTATACATGAGCAAACTAAACTGGAGTGTGGAAGAAAGTGAGAAGTTAATAAGTTCTGGAATGTTTTCATGTGATCTATGGGCACATTTCTATCACTCTATTATCACCATCAGGTGTTTTCTCTTTTCCCTCTGCATGCTGAGGCAGCATAGATGGTAGTCATAAAATAAAAAGGTACCTCGCTGCTTTCCTGTTACGTAATAACTTTTTTTTAATTGTACAAAAACAAAAATCCTATTATACTGAAATATAGAGTATAGTAATATCCATGAACTAAAGGCTCAGTGTTGATTCTCTGCTGCATCTAGTGGGATTACTCGATCCTGTTCTTTTACTGATGCAATTAAAATATGGAGGTAATTCACAAGGATTCATTCAGTAAAGCAGCTTTAACTGAATGCGGCTTTTAAAGTAGCCTTAATGCGGGGATTGCAGAAGGGACGTTAAATTATGGAACGTCATAATAAACACTTTTAATTGTGTGATTTATGATAAGGGACTAAAAACCCTAGTATGATTTAACACCTTTGTCTTGCTTACAAAGAAGTTAATTCACTACACTCTTGATTTCAGGAACAACTTCAGCAAGCTGTGCCGCCACGGAAAGAAGGGAGAGACACAGGGTCTCGGGCTTTATTTGCCAGCTTCTGAGAGGCATGGGGGCGTTTGTTATGTGGCGGTAGAAGGGGGTGACTGAAGTGTACCCCCCCCCTCTCTCTCTGTCTCTCTCTCTCGTCCTCTTTCTCTCCCTCCGTTTATTCCCCTCCTTCTCCCTCCTCCTCCTGGCCGCTCTCAGACCATTGTTGTTGTGGCACTGCCGTCCGAAGGAGAACAGCAGTGTATGGTAGGTGGGCTGGTGTGTGAGGGACACAGTAGCTCGCTCCTCTCTGTCTGCTGTAGAAAGGAAACGGTCAGAGGAGACTTAGCTCCACATTTCAGCAGCAGACCTTACCGGGATAAACTCACCAAGTAAAGGAGAATTTGCAGAAGCGCTGCGTAAAGGCGCACGTAAAGAGTTTTATCAAAGACTGGTCTACGCTATCAGGAAGGGACTCTGAACTACGGGACACGTTTTATCGTTCGTCTCCAGTCAGCCCCTGTTCCCTGTTCTCTCGCCACATAGGATCCTTAAAAAACATTTTCAGAACAAGAAAGACCCAAATCTACGCGCACAAACGCACCTTCTCGCTCCCTGTTTGGTTTTGTTTCTCTCACTGGATTTAGCGCCCTGAGTGGACTTTGCCCCGGCAATCACAGCACGTTCCTTGGGTCACCAGGAGACAGACCAGCTGCCGTTCATGTTCCAGGGGACTATTTTTGATGGATTTATAAGTCAGTGTCGTGTTCAGGCGGATATTAAACAACCGAAGCCCGCTCACAGACTGCTCTGGAAAAAGTATACAGCGGGACCCAAATGAGGATTTCAATTTTCTCCTGTATCGACCGGGACAAGGAGTGAGTTCTTCTTGGTGCCAGCCGAGGCAAGGACAGACCGGTAGGAAAGGTGGGTGAAAACAGATTGAGACAGCTGGAGATTCTTGGAGAGTTGTTTCATTCATTTTCAGCGCGCACGGCGGAGTGTGGGTCAGATTACACAATAAAGCTACTTAAGGAGACCTTTATTGAGTTGCTTGAAGCCTCAGACTGTTCTATGAAAGCTGGTTTATTCAACTGGTTTATTTGTAGTCAGCGATTGTCCAGTATCTTACAACAGGGCAGGAGAAAGTGTCCACTGGACCTACCTACCTCATCATTTGCATTATAAACTAGTGAACTGAACCATGGAGTTTCAGGAAACAAAGGCTGCATGATTTTAATATAATGTGAGGTTTAATTTATTGTGTTAAATTACACAGACCCAAACAAGTCACACATTAGACATTGAACCTCCACATGGACTGTAGTGTCACTCAGATCAGAGTCCTAACTTTGTCAGATTCTATTCACTAACATAGAAAGTGAAACATTTCACCTACACACGTGTGATAAAATGACAAAATAGGCGATGACAGTCCTGATCAAAATCCGATTTGATTCCTCTGCGCGTTTAATGTGTGTGTCTTCATTTTGGGCATTTATATAGTAAAACTAATGTTTTGTTTGTTGGACTGATCGAACTGATTGACTGATGGCGGGACTCACACGTGTGGACATTTTAACCATACAAGTCACTACTGTATGGCACAAATAGCAACAGGTTCAGTTTGTTTTGGCAGCTCTTCGAGTCATCATGTCTGACACATTTACTGAGTGTGATTTATGTGAAAGAAATATGTAGTGCGTTAACAAATAAAAAGCCTAGACAGTGGGGATCATCTCTCCGTTTTTAGGGCTGAGGAGTAGAAAACATTAGAAATGTTTTGGCTCCAGCTGAACACAGCAGAGAGCAACAGGCAACGTGCCCGCGGAGTTAGCAGCAGCAGGAGAACAATGTTTTTCAGTCCTTAATTGAGAAAGAATACGTTTCATTCAGCAGGCTAGTTCTTTAAACTCTCTTTGTGAGCGTGTGTGTGTGTGTGTGTGTGTGTGTGTGGTGTGGGCACGGCCTGCACGCATGGAGCGCACGCACCAGGGTCTGGCGCCTGTGCGCAATTTGGCCCGACTCGCAGTAGAAAACTCACTGTACTGTTCCTTTAGTGTTCTTAGACTGTCAGAGTTTAGTCTGCAGAATGAGTTCATAGACGTATTTTGTATAAGTCATCTTTCAGACAAAAATGACAACAATAAATCCTCGGTTCTAGTTCTAGCCTCATAATTGAAAGACTGCTTCTTCTCTCTGTATATTGTGATATTAAACTCAAAGTCTCTTGGTTTTGACTGTTGGTCAGTGTGAGGGACTTGTTTGAAGCCAGCACCTTGGGTTTATGAAACTGCCTTCTGAAATCAAATTGACATCAGAGTGAGAAGACTGTGCTGCTCCCTGTATAGGAAATTATAGCCCTTTTTTGTAGCCTGTTGTGTCTTTCTATCCTGAACCTGAAGTCTCCTCAGCTGCCAGTCAAATCTATGTGTTGCTTGTTCAGATTCTGTAGATTCCTGGCAAATGAAAAACAAACAAACAAAACCATGATCCTGGGGCAGACTGAGCACCATCCACTGACAAAAAAAAGAGGCAGTAACAGCCCTGCTCCTAAGAGAGCCTGGACAATGTAAGGCAGATGAGCGAGACAGTTAGTAAGACATCTGGTTAAGAATACAGCTGCTCACAGTCAAAACAGGCTCTCTCTTTGGCTGTTGAACTATTTGGCTGAACAATTGTTTTTGTTTTTACCACCTGTCCTAAAACTCAGAAGAAAAGTTTGTGTCTTTAGCTGCTCTCCAGCCGGAACTCCTTAGAGACTCAAGTTTCTAATCCACCGATTACCGTCTGCCATGTGTTTGTTTGCCCCCACAGGATCCAAATTTAGAAACTTTGCATGTTTCTGAGTTTGCTAATGCCAGACAGCAGCGTGTGAGGCCCACTTCAGGCTTCCAACATTTATTACTACGTTTTAACCACAAGACCCACATCTAGAAGATGGTGAGGGCCTGCACCGTCTGTGTTCTCCTGCTCTGGTTATTGGACAGAGTTTCAACTAGGACCATCAGTGAAGGAAGACCTAGAGGTAAGCCTTAGATAGCTTTTTTCTACTGAAAACAAGAACTACAACCTTTTCAAAATAAAAAAATTCAGAACTATTCATTACTGAAATCCTATCATAAGGTTTACAACAACCTTCTTCATGTCATTTACATCTTATTTTTGGGGGTTTGTGTTGCCTGAACTTTAGATTAGTATGTGTGTCGAGTTGGATTATTTCTGGCTTGATTTTTGGTCTGGTGTGCGTGTATGTCCACTTTCCAGTTCTAAAAATGTTTAGTTTCTTGGAAGCCATGGCCACCGAAGGAGTCAAGGTGAGAAGAAAAATGGTAAAGTTAGGGTGGGGGGTGGTGTCTCAGTGTTTTTGCTGCTGTATATTGTGCTACCTGATCTGTCTGAGGCCCTGGGGGTCAGAAGTGTAAATTTGCCTGGCTGCGTGCCACATGTAGAGGATGAAGAGGGAGGGGTTGCAGGGGCTTTTTAATGATGCTTTACGACAGAGGCCAATGCAATATGTCAATCACTGTAAACTAAAATCATAAAGTGACATCTAAATGATTCAAATCCGTCAGTGGTGAAAGGAGTTTAGGATGATGTTTTTGTAAGGATGTGAGCAGACTGATGGAAAAACTGTTGCCCTGGAGGCATCAAGCAAAGAAGTTGCCTTATTTCTTTCCCCACTTTTCATTTTATGGCCAAGCGGGGCCAGCCAGGGCTTGCTGTTCAGTGACAGTGGGCCCCAGAAAATTTACTTATGTTTATTAACAAGACTTAAATAACGCACATTCATTTTTTTTACCTGGTCAGACAGGAAGACAACTTCCAACTTTTCAGTTTTAAGAATATAACAATCCAACTGAGAACCACTTTTCTCAACCAAAGTAAAAATTAGAGCTTCGCTTTCCACAAACAAACTTTCACAAAACTGCTTTATAGATCCTAGTGGAATTCATCATAAGAATGTAGTCTCAGAGAAAACACTACTGTCTCTCTTTGCCTGATGGTAGAAGTTTTTTGTGAGACGTCACTTTTTAGTTGAGACAGGCCTGAAACAAGACCAACGCCTTAGAAAGCTAAATTCCCCTTGATGTCAGTTAAAAGAGATGAAGTATTCACTGTCACTTTCCTAAAGATGATGCCAGCTGAACAGAGGTTGTTACGGTCAGAGGGACCTACAGTGCACTGCCACCTTTCCTCCAAATGTGCAATGACAGGGAGCCCATTTGCCACATTAAGGAGAACAGAGAGTGCCGAAGAATGCCATTTTTGCTTTGGTCTTTGCTCAGAATAATTGGGTTGGCATTTTGTTTTGGAGTGCATCTGCTGGTCAGGCAGGCCTGTAGTTAAGCTGGAGTGGGCTGTGGTTTTGAAAGCTGCTCTGTGAACTTTACTGGGATGCATATTCCTAACTGAAATCATAATTGTCTCACACCCTGGAGCTACACTGCCTGAAGATCAGAGCCCGTGTTTGATAAATGTTAAAATTTCCCATCATTACTCTTCATAATGTCATCTGAATTCTAATGAGTGTGTAAATAGATAATGAATGACACATTATAACATAAATGCAAACACATTTTATGGTGTATGATTACACACATAAACATATTTGTTCATAGCTCTACTACAAGGTGTTGTATACTGGCTATCAAATAAAGGGAAATAAAATAAAGACTTCTTTCAAAAGAAGGCTACAAACTGGCCTAATATGACTAGTTTCAGCCAGTCAGGAATAAGAACTAGACTGTATGAAGTGTTCTGCTAATAAAACTAGTATGAAGTCCATATTAGTGGGTTCTGCTGCTGTGAGTCTTTGCTCTGATGCCAACCCAATCGGCTGACTGACTGGTTGGCTCACACCTGCTGAGCGGTTTGTTTGTGTTGTGTTGTGTTTTGTTTGCCTCGTCGCCTCTGGGTGACAATTCACACTCTGTTGTGAGTTCAACTCCAGGGCACTGTTCTTGTCTCTGCAAGTTCATTAGCATGGCTGCAAGTGTGTGTGTGTCACCTCTGTGATTTATTGCTGACTGCTGATTTTGTTTAGTTTGTGTCTGCTCCATTGGAGGAAAATGTGTGACCTGTTATGATCACATATAGTTAAAATTTAGAACTCAGAGGATACTGATTGTAGTTTCTTCAACTAAACAGATTAATAGATGAGCACATTAAAAGCAACCATCAAGACATTTATATTTTTCTTTCTGACCAGTCACTGTTTCTGATTTTCAACATTCAAAGTTGTAAATGTGTATTTGGTCTTGAAACCATTACCACTCTATGTACTCTGGGTGATTAGGAAAAATGGCAGCACTTCACTTCAACAGTGGAACAGATTGCCTTTTCACTAAGCAATCGCAGGAAGCAATCAGATGGAAAATTGCCCCGGAAAATTGCTTGTTCTGACCGACTGAACAGCAAGCAAGATCTCAGACCAGGGCACACATATGCTACAATAAGTGAGTGGGTGAGCACATAAATGGACGAGTGACCCACTGAATGGATGACACTGTGGCTGATGGTGACACAATAGCAGCCGAGTTATCAAGACACTGTATCACCAGTTCCTGCTAACATTTGACAACTGTATTTTAGGAACATAGTGTTCTATTGCCGGACCTTTCAGAGGTAAACTGAAACCACCAGGTTGTGTTTTAACTATTTTTGTCTTGTTCAGTTGGAGCACATTCAGAACAAGGAGGTTTATAGCGGTTTATTAAGAGTCTGGACTTCTTTATTCTGTGAAATAACTGTCAAATAGCATGACACCAGAAACCTGTTTTTTTCAGTGCTGTAGTTTTTTTTTTAAACAAGCAAATAAGAATAATCTTACACAGTTAAAGGATGGAAGGAGACAGTTATCAGATAGTTTGTCATCCAATCGAAGACAACCATGAAAATGCATCTAAAAGTAAAAATCATAAGGAGGTGAAAGACTTTCTTTCCTGTTTTCTCTCTCCTCTATTTTCACCCATTGTTTTGTTCTACAGATCTACGAGTCTCCAGGCCTCTGATTGTGCCAGGTTACCCAGAAAACACCACAGGGGTAGTGGGTGGCCAGGCGAAGCTGGTGTGTAAAATCCATAGGCCGGCATCCACCAAGGTGCAGTGGCTGAAGACGGAGGTCAGCGCACCAGGACAAAGCCAGGGAGGAGCACCTCGCCTCAGGGCTGTGATGGTGAGAAGTTGACATATAACACAAAAACAATGCAATTGTTTTTCATGTTCTGCTCAGAGTCTGTTCTGATTCTGTGCTCATCATAACAAAAGTACATTAAAATGATCTCTCCTCTGTGCAGGCTCTGCAGAGCAATGCATCCAAGCTGAACATCCTGCTCCTGTCCAACATCACTCTGCAGGATGCAGGAGAATATATCTGCATGGCAGAGAGCACCCATTCTGGACGGACGGTACAGGCCATGCAGTCAGCGTGGTTGGATGTTCTGCCTGGTGAGGCACACTTAGCATGCCAACCTATTGGACAGCTTAAGTCAAAGTTCCACATAATGTGTGACTGTTAGCCCACTACAGTTCAACATCTATCAACCATGTGAACGTTCATTTATAACACAGAATCACATGATTTTCTAACTTCAAATTTCCTCTTCCACAGGTACCATCATTT